AATTCTTTTTCTATTCATCTTAATTTTAATAATTTCCTCGTTATTTTAGAGATTGAGACATTAGAGAATACCCTCATCGAGCTAAAAAAGATTGGTACCAAAATTGTTAAGATCCAGGAATTTTTCCGGCTAGTCATAGCTTTGCGCCTACTCGGCTGTGTCCCAAATTTATCAATTGTCTCAATCTCAAAAATAATATTTTTAATTGTTGAGACACTAAAATTGTTTTTTTCTTAATTAAAGTATTTATGAAATAAATAAAAAATGTTTTGTTTTAATACTAAAAACTTTTATTTTACAATAACAGAAACAATATACTACATACAATAATAAATTAGGTGGAGATTTTTTAATTATATTAGCTATTATTATTATTTCCTCTTTTCCTAAATATTAACAATTATTTGAGGTTATATTCTAAGGTTGTAGTTTGAGGTTTTATATATTGAATATTCTAAAAAATAGGGAAATTAATAGGATAAGGCTTTTTAGAGGGGTGAGAATGAGTAGGCTTTCGTAAGTGACGAAAAGGCCAGTGGCAAAGTGTATTTTCCCTTGGGTGACCAACTGAATTTTATTTCCCGTTCTGATAGACCGACCATTTTGAAATTTTTCTCAAGGAGAGACCGAAATGACTAATCTTTCCCTTAGGCGATCAAATGTCCATTTTCCCTAGGGGACCAAATGTCCATTTTCTCCTAGGTGACCAAATGTCCATTTTTATTTAAAAAATCACTCACATTTTATCTCTCTCTTATTTCTTCTCTCTCTCTCAATAGTAAGGCGGAAGTCCATATTTCTCCGGATCGAATTTGCTCAACGAAGGGATCATTTCTCGAAAATTGGGATGTTTCTTGAATTTCCTCTCAGTAGCCTCTTGTCCTCCCCAATTAGTAATTATAGAATCTTGTTGAGGTACCCAAATAACAGAACACCCAGCAGACAACGCAGATTTAACCCCATTAATGGAATCTTCAAAGACGAGGACTTGTAGTGGATCTGAAGGTTTTGGGGTCATTCTACGCATTGTTACCTTGAAATAAAAGGCTTTTTTGAGGGGAAAGAGTTTAGAAATCTTACCAAATAGGGATCAGGTCCGGGCTTTCCAACTTCCACCTCTGGATCGTCTCCAGCCAAAACAACGGTATTCATCTAAATTTTTGAATTTTAATTTTAAAAATGAATTTTTGAATTACTCATAATCGGGCCTTACTATAAGATATCCAATGGAGCTTTGAAAGTTGTAACTTATAATGAGGTGTCTCTTAAATCGAGGGTCTAGAGTGAAGGTGAAGGTCATAAAGTGACTGAACAAAATTTTTAAAAAGGTCTTAAATAGAGTTATAAAAAAATACTGCTGTGGACCATATAGCAAGTTCTGACAGGATTTTTTTAAAAAATAGTGAAAAGAAACTCCAGAAGCCATCCTAAATTTCCCCCAAAAATTTTAATTAATTCACCCCCCTTCCCTTCACTCAAAAACAGAAAAAATCCTTTTTAAAAAATTCTCCAAACCTTTTTAACCAAATCCTCGCATTTATCAACCTTCTTAGAGAATTCGGCACTGGATGAGCTAGTACATATAGAAGTTTGAATTCCATTCTTTTGCAAGTGTTCAATAAGACGGCGAGCGCCCGGCATTAATTTCATGTCAGGCAAAAGTTTGTCTAGAGATTTGTTGTAGACATCCAAATATTCCTTAAAAAATTAAAAAAAAATTTTCCGAACAAAAATAAAACAAAATTAAGCAAAAGAAACATTAGTTGGAGTGTTTAAAAATGTTTGAGCTTCAAAAGGATTCGAACCTGGGACCATCCACCCCACAAACACATAAGCAACCAACTAAGCCATGAACACAAATTATAAAAGACATTGGATAAATTAAGGAAAAATTAATGGAAATGAATTAAAAATAACGAAAGCCTTTCAGAAAAATTAAAAAAAATTTTTTTTGAACAAAAACTAAAAAAATTAAGTAAAAGAAACACTGGCTAGAGTGTTTAAAAATGCTTGGGCTTCAAATGGGTTCAAACCCGGGACTATCCCCTCCACAGACACAGAAGCAACCAACTAAGCCATGAACAAGCTTACCGAAGAATTATTAAAAAATCGGGTAAATTAAAGAAAATTAGTGGAAATGAACCAAAAATAGACGAAAAGATCCATAAAAAATTTTTTAAAAATTTCAAAAAATTTTTCGCTACATGAAAAATTCTAAAAATAATAGCTCAAATAAAAATTAACAGAAAAAAATTTTTTAATCCAAAAAAACTAACCTTTTCCGTAACATTTTTCTCGCTTAGCCCAGACCTTCGAAGAACACACTCTACAGCATCCGTCAAATTCCTTCCCATTTGTGCATGTTTAATTTCAAGCGTGTAATCCCCACCAAAATGTGCACATGCTTCTACGTTTGCCTTTAAATTTATTTTTAAATTTATTTTTGTAAATTTTGTCTCGAATTTTTATCCACAAGTTTTGTCCGCAAAATATGAAATTAAAAAAAAACATTTCTTTGATTTCCTCGTACTCCCCTTGCATTTCCTCGTATCTTCCTCCCTTCCCTTACAATTTAAAAAGAGAGGAGAATTTGACTTTGAGTGAACACGGAGAATGAGTAAAGTAGTAGAATTAGAAGGGGGTGAGATGCGTGCACTAACCCTTCATCTGCCTAATTCAATCCTGAGGAGCGTGTTTTGCCTGATTTGACATTCTATCCCTCATCACTTCCCTTCTAACACTGCCAAAATTTAGCCTAAGGGATGCCGTTATACGAGGACTCGATTATTCAGTGTTTGGACAGAAAAGGTTTTCGAAATTTGATTCGGTCAGCGAAAACAACGCTGAGCAAAACCAAGATTCCAACAGAGGGGAGACAAAAACACAATTTGCGGACAAAACTTGCGGCTTTTCCCCCTTGATCAACCACCCCGTTTTCAAATAATTAAAAAAAACCTTGTAGAAAATAGTTTCAGAATCCACAATAATTCCATCAAAATCAAAAATGACGGATTTAATCATTTTCGGCTTTTTTGGAATATCCCCTCCAGTAACCTTTTTAACTTCATCGTCTTTATAGAGGCTTTTGGCAACATAAACAGCAGTACCGACGCCACCAGCAGAAGCGAGAAGAAATGGAAATCGGAAGAAAGAAGGCATTTTTGGAGAGGAATAGTCCTTTTTGAGGAGAAAGAGAAGAAAGAATTTAACAATTATTAAATTGTTAAAATCTGAAAAAAAAATTAAAAATTTAAAAAATTAATGTGAAATGTGCCCTTTTTGTTGTGGACGATTTTACTTCTTTTATACTATGTTTTATTTTGAAATTAAACTTTTACAACGAATGTTTGAGTTTGGCGGAAAACATTTATTTAAAAATTAATGTCAAATGTTTTTGTTGTGTTTGATGTTTTTAAATGTTTTTGTGAGTTTATTTAAATGTTTTAGAGTAATAAATGTTTGTGTGTTTTTCATGTTTTGTTTGTTTTGAATGTTTTGGAAAACTTGTTTTTCAATGTTTTAATAAATGTTTGTTTGTGTGTTTTTAGGGTGTTGTTTAAATGTTTTTGACGTTTATTTAAATGTTTTGATCCTAGGCTTTGTTTGTTTCTGTTAGTTTAAATGTTTGATCTTAATTAAACGTCTGTTTATGTGTTTTTATGGTTTTGTTTGAATTTAAATTTGTGTTTGTTTCAATGTTTTTTATTTATTTAAATGTTTTTGTTCAAATGTTCTAAATTTATTTAAATGTTTGTTTGTGTTTTCTTATTTGTTTAAAACATTTTCTAATGTTTTAATCTTTATGTTTTTGCTTCAACTTTATTTAATTACTCATATTTCAACTTTAATTTACTTCCATTTCTCACTTTTTGCTTTTTAAATTGTCATCAAAAAATATTTTTTCTAATATTTTTTTTCAACTTTTTTTTCAACTTCCAAAATCTCTCCCCAATTTGATGAGAATAAAATAAAACCAAAAAAAATATTTTTTCTTTAATTTGACAGGAATTTTGGCTGATTTACAGCAATCATTTTATAGACTTTTCAATCTTTTTTTTTTGCTTCCACATGTCGCGACCGCGCGGCGATTTGCTCTATTCAACTGATCACCACAACAAATGTTTTAATAGGTAAGTGTATGTGTGGGGAAAAGAATCGATCATCTATCTTTCCTTCTTTTCACACAAACAATTATCATCATTTTGCTACCAAACATTCAATTGCTCATGCATTTAACAACTATTAACTTAATCGACAACAAAACTTTAATTTTTCTTAGTTTTTATTTTTTATTCTTTTTAATATTGCGCAACCACGCGAATATAAATTTCTCAACAAATTTTGATATTTAGTTTGTGTTTCTTGCTGTTGTTTTTTTTAAAGTTTTCTCCTCTCAAGTTCAAAGAATATTGAAGCAAACAAACTAAATTGCTATTAAATGTTTTACCATGGTAGGTTTATAATGTTTTTGTAAAATGTTTTTAGAAAATGTTTTTGAAAATGTTTTTAAGAATGTTTTTAGAAAATGTTTTTATTTAAATGTTCGGAGTAATTTACAAACTTGAAATTTATTAAATAAACTTGAAGCATTTAATAGTGTTTTGATTCCTTGAAGTTTATTTATTGTTGTTGTGTTTATTTATGTTTCGCTTGTTTCAAGTTTATTTTAATTTTTATTTACATGTTTTGTTTACGACAATAAAAACAATGTTTGTTTAATTTGTTTTATATTGTTTGTTGTAAGCTTAATGTTTTTTTCATGTTTTCTTTTCAAGCTTGTTTTTAATAAACATGTTTGTTTTGTGTTGTGTTTGTCTGTTTAATTTAAGTTCAATCTTAAATTTGTTTAAAACTTTGTTTTCTATTGTTTTAATTTTATTTTGAGCTTGATCTTAATTTTCTAGTATTTATTCAAGTTTATTTCTTTACAAACTTAAAAACTTGTTTTTAAACCTAATTAATAAATAAATTCAGAAATTATGCTCATCCATAACAACTAAATGAAGTTGAAAGTTGCAACATCCATAAATTACCCTCAAATTTATTCAAGATCTCAAAAATCATTTAAAACAACCTTATTTATTTTTATTTTATTTTTTGAAGGTAATTTTTATTAAAAATTAAAATAAACACATAATTTTTAGTTCTCATTAACCATTTACTCCTAGCCAATTTAAATCAAAAATTGCCAGAACCTCAAAATTTGAGAGTAGTCCAACAGAGAACTGCTCCTGATAGTAGGTTTAGAAATCTTAAAATTTAAAAAAAATTTCAAAAATAAAATTAAAAAAATTTTAGACTTCAATATAGGCGTAATTCACGTCAAGTTAAAAAATTGGACAACAACAACAAGATTTCCCAGAACTTCAAATAAACTACATTTTATATTAAATGATACAGAACAGCAGCATAAAAGGCGTAGAAATTATGAGGTTGGTGAAAGTCGTGGGAGAAGAACAGACGGAAGTCAACCAAATCAAGCAAGTAATGGAGGAGGTAGCAGTGGAGGAATGGAAATGGAAGGTAAATTAATAAATAACCTAAAACTTTAAGATTAAACTTAAAACTTGAAAACAAACAAGACAAACTTGAAGTGCAAACTTGGAAAAAAGTTGAAGCAAGTTTCTAGTTGCAAACTTGATTCTTAAAGAAACTTGTTTCATTGCATACTAAAAACAAACTTTAAGTGCAAGCTTGAAAAAAATAATTTTTACAAACTTGAAAACATTTAAAACTTTAAACAAACTTTATTGTGAAAACACAAACTTGTTTTAAATAAACTTGAACAAAAACATCTAAATAAAGTTGGAAACTTAAGTACGAACTTAAAAAATTACAAACATTTAAATAAACTTGAAAACTTGTTTACAAACTTGAAACATATATTTTAAACATTAATTGTTTCAAATAACTTTAAGTAATAAATTTTACAAAAACATTTACACAAAATTGTTAAACTTTTTTATTTTACAGCGCTTTTTCCTTACTTATTGTTGGCGCTAGGATTAGCTCTTGTTGCCTTTTTTGTTATACTCTACGCTATTTTAAATGCATTGCTTCAACGGAAGGATCAACACGAATCAGTAGAGCAACGAAGGAGAAGAAGAAAAAAGAGGAAAAGGAGAAGAAAAAGGGATTGGAGGAATGACAGTAACGATTTAATTGAAGGGAAACATTTTGGAGACGATGAGGAAAACAGTTCAGAAGAGAAACATGTGTGTTTTTTTGGATTTTTTTTGTTAAAATTTCAAAATTTTAAATTAGCTTGACTCACTTGACGAAGGAAGCAACGATTTAGCACATCCCCCTCTAATGGGTGTTAGGCCAGTTGCGAGATGGCATAGGTCTCGGGATGGACCACTTGATGAGGAACTAATGGAACGCAATGATAGTGATTGGATGATGAGTGGTGGAAGTGGGATGAGGCGTTATAGACAACATCGAGCTTCAGGGTAACTCACCTATAAGTCAAATAAACGATCATTATTATGCAGGAATCGAAGAGCGCCGCCCCCTCCCCTTCCCCATTTACCTCCACCGCCACACGAACCTCCGCGATCTCGACAACTAAGCCAACAACATTATCCACAACACTATACAAGAGGTCAAAGGCACATTGGCTGGGCAAATGAGGATCAGATCAGTCTGCCTGGCATTCTCCGATCAACTCCCAGGCCTCCTCCACCACCCCCTCCTAGAGCGCCACCGCCACCACCGCCTTTACCTGCTAGATGTAAAAACATTTTTTAATTTTATTCAGTCTAAATTTGTTTGTAGACCAAAAACGCTCCAGAAAACAACCACACGAACCCAGTATTGAAAACAGTAGTGACGAAAATGATGATCAAAGCAGTGACGGGGGTAATCGAAGGCATCGAGTTTACCATAAAAAACGTCACGAAGATCAAAAACGAAATAATCCCCCATCAATTCCCCCTCCGCAGCCACTCCGAAGGGAGAATACAGACTCTACTGTATCTTCTTTACAACGGGGAGGTCGTGCTGGATCTCTCTAATCTCCGCAAATTTTAAAAATGATTTATGTGATATCCAATAATTAACAAAAACACCTCGAGAATGAAATTATATTTATTTTGTATGAAAAAATATATTGGGAAATTTCTACAAATTAATTTCCGGAAACGTAACCAAATGCGCTTCAAAAACTTAAAAGGATTTTTACAAATTTTAAATTATTTACGAAAAGGGTGTTTGAATCTGTCCGGAATTAATTTAAAACGATTCTACAAATTGTAAAATCTTTCAGAAAAATTGTAAATTAATTCCTCAATTTATTAAAAAAGTTTTACAAATTGTAAATTAATTCTGATAGTTGTAAAACTTTACGGAACTTGCTTAAAGATTTTACAAATTGTAAATTACTTCCGGAAAAGGTTGTAAAGCTATCCGGAATTCATTTGACGAAATTTTACAAATTGTAAATTACTTCCGGAAAAGTTTTGAATCTGTCCGGAATTTATTTGTACTGATTTTACAAATGATAAATTCTTCCGGAAAATTGTAAATTATTTCCGGAATTCGAAAAAGAACAAGTTTTACAAATTGTAAAATCTTCAGGAGAAGGTTATAGAGCTATCCGGAATCGTTTGACGAATTTTGCAAATTGTAAATTTCTTTCCGGAAAAAATTCTAAATTATTTCCGTAATTCATTTAATGAGTTTTACAATTGTAAATCTCTTCCGGAAAAATAGGAAATTATTTCCGGAATTCAGTTAATGAATTTTACAAATGGTAAATTCTTCCGGAAAATTTGTGAATTATTTCCGGAATTCATTTAATGTTTTACAAATTGTGAATTTCTTTCCGGAAAAGAAACAATTATTTCCGGAATTCATTTAATGTGTTTTACAAATTGTAAATTATTCCGGAAACGGATAGATTTAAACCCACAGGCTTTCTTAAATAAATAAAATTAAAATCACACAATTTATTCTTTCACATTCGAATCAATTAAAAACATCATTAACTAACATTTTACATTTACAAAATAATAATATGTGTAACATCAGTAAAATAGTATTGTAAAAATTGATGAACATTGTGTAAAAAGGGCAGGAGGACAATGTTATTTTTTACAGTTTTTCAGATGACACAAACTTTTAATGTTCCAACTTTGTTCTTTCATAAAAACAATTTTTAAACTTTGTCCTTTTTTAAATTTAGAAACATGTTGGAATGAAAAGCTACTGAAATTTTGGAGGTGAAAACAATTTTAGTATAAACTGAATAAAAATATTTAATGAGGATGTGTAAATGAGTGAAAAATATTTTTAAATAAAAGCTTACAAAGTTTTTAGGTTTTTTTTATTTTTAGTTGAAAAATCTTAAAATTTTTTGATTTTAAAAAACATAAAAACATCGTGAAACTTGGTAAAATAAAATTGAATATAAAATGAAAGAAAAATGACTGTATGAAAGATCAGATACAATTCAAATGATACAAATAAATTTCTTAGAATGGATCAAGTTGTATTTTTAGTCATTGCTTAAACTTGGAAACCCTTTTGTTTAAATAATAGGGTCGAATTATTATTGAAGTTAACGATATAGTTAAGTTTTACAATCTTTTTAGAAAATTATTCCGTAAAGCTTAATTGTAAAAAAAAGGTTGGAAAAATTATAATTTAAATTACAATCTCTCTAAACAACTTTAGAAAATAATTACAAAATAAAATTACAATCCGTCAGAATTGTAATAAACTTTAAAAAAAAGTTGTAAAACTATCCGGAATTTGCTTTTACAAATTGTAAATTATTTCCGGAAAAGTCGTAAACTATCAGGAATTAACTTAAGGAGTTGTAAAATAAGTCTGACAGAATTGTAAACTTAATTGTAAACTAAATAGAGAAGAAAGGCAATGACTGTTATTTCTAACTTAATCCACTTCTGTGTTGCATATTTCTTTCAATGAAGATTATTTTTGATAAAATAAAGGAAATGTATTTTTAGCTAGATTGCTGTAAAATTTGAGGTAATGTGTAAAATATACTATTAAAAATAGTATTTTTTAAATTGTTTTGAAATTTAAAATTTTATTGAATCGAACAAAAAAATAGAGGAATAAAACCAAATATAATAATTTTTTCTATCCCTGCTTATAACCAAATAAAATAAAAAAATATTAAAGAAATGAGGACAAAAAAATATTTTTTTTATTTCTTTAATTTAGTCATCCAAATATCCTTTCACGAAGAAAAAAATTTTATTTTCTTACGGCAAGTCAAACTGTCCCCCCTGTGCCAATTCATGTCGCAATACTGCATCAACGTCCAAATCAGCAAATGCTTGTTGATCTACAGGCATAGCATTAACACTTTCCAAATCAAAAGGAAGAGAAGTTCCGTTATTATTATTATTATTATTTTCTCCCCCAATATTAATTCCTCCCCCTGGGAACATTATTTGTCCGTTATTTGAAGCCATTGGATTAATATGTTGTGGAAAGGTGTTGGGAGGTTGTCGATTCCATTGTTGGAAATTGTTGTTGTCAGGGGAAAACATTTGTTGCTGTCCGTTTGAGGTAAATATTGAAACCGGGAAAGATTGTGAAGCAACACTAGTTGATGAAGGTATACTAAAATATATGGAATATATTTTTCCGGAAAAGCTTTATAAAAATATTAAGTATTCCGGAAGAACTATAGGTACTCTTCACTTATAGCTGGTTTTTAATGCGTGGACGGATATGGACGTATGAGGTGTCATTCGACTCAGCTCGCCGAGCTGAGTCGAACTAGGGGTGGGAGAAGTTTGTCCGGTACCCAGGTCCCGAGATATGGTCGATTGAAAATCGAAAAACCAAAGGGGGGGGGGGGGTAAGCTCACATTGGGGTGAAAAATTCGAATATTCAAATAATAGCTCATTCGAAAGAGCTCCTCAAGCTGAGTCGAATGACACCGAAATCGACGAAATCTGATTTGATTTGACAAAGTTATGCTCGTTTGTTTTAGCTCCTTACCTATGGTCTCCGTGGAGTTTTTTGCTGCTTCGGAGGCCCCAGGTATGTCCAGAGTAGGGGAGATAGGAATAGGTTTATGTTACGAGCCCAGACCCAGCGCCCGTAGACTCCCCGCGAGGCGCGTGCCGCAAAACCCCGCGCGAAGCGCGGGGTTTTGCACAAGCGCCTCGCCGACGCCCCCTAGGTTTACGTTGTTTGTTTTTTGTGTTATAACTTTGTCCAAACTTGTTCAATAGAGCTGATTTTGGTGTCATTCGACTCAGCTCGAGGAGCTCTTTCAAATGAGCTATTATTTGCAAATTTATGATGGCACCTACGATTTTTGACCATTTTGAGTCCCCTGTATCTCGGTCCCTAGGTACCGGACAGACTTCTCCCACCCCTCATTCGACTCAGCTCGTCGAGCTGAGTCGAATGACACCTCATTCGCCCATATCCGTCCACGCATTAAAAACCATCTATAAGTGAAAATTTTCGAACTATATTCAAGAACATTTATATAGTTCCGGAATTATATGTTTATGCTTTCCGGAAAAGTTGAATATATTTCCGGAAAAGTTGAATATATTTCCGGAAAAGTTTAATATATTTCCGGAAAAGTTTAATATATTTCCAGAAAAGTTTAATATACTTTCCGGAAAAGTTTAATATATTTCCAGAAAAGTTGAATATATTTCCGGAAAAGTTGAATATATTTCCGGAAAAGTTTAATATATTTCCGGAAAAGTTTAATATATTTCCAGAAAAGTTTAATATACTTTCCGGAAAAGTTTAATATATTTCCAGAAAAGTTGAATATATTTCCGGAAAAGTTGAATATATTTCCGGAAAAGTTTAATATATTTCCAGAAAAGTTGAATATATTTCCGGAAAAGTTGAATATATTTCCGGAAAAGTTTAATATATTTCCAGAAAAGTTTAATATATTTCCAGAAAAGTTGAATATATTTCCGGAAAAGTTGAATATATTTCCGGAAAAGTTTAATATATTTCCAGAAAAGTTGAATATATTTCCGGAAAAGTTGAATATATTTCCGGAAAAGTTTAATATATTTCCAGAAAAGTTTAATATATTTCCAGAAAAGTTGAATATATTTCCGGAAAAGTTGAATATATTTCCGGAAAAGTTTAATATATTTCCGGAAAAGTTTAATATATTTCCAGAAAAGTTGAATATATTTCCGGAAAAGTTGAATATATTTCCGGAAAAGTTTAATATATTTCCAGAAAAGTTTAATATATTTCCAGAAAAGTTGAATATATTTCCGGAAAAGTTGAATATATTTCCGGAAAAGTTTAATATATTTCCGGAAAAGTTTAATATATTTCCAGAAAAGTTGAATATATTTCCGGAAAAGTTGAATATATTTCCAGAAAAGTTTAATATACTTTCCGGAAAAGTTTAATATATTTCCAGAAAAGACGAATATATTTCCGGAAAAGTTGAATATATTTCCGGAAAAGTTTAATATATTTCCAGAAAAGTTAATATATTTCCAGAAAAGTTGAATATATTTCCGGAAAAGTTGAATATATTTCCGGAAAAGTTTAATATATTTCCGGAAAAGTTTAATATATTTCCAGAAAAGTTGAATATATTTCCGGAAAAGTTGAATATATTTCCGGAAAAGTTTAATATATTTCCAGAAAAGTTTAATATATTTCCAGAAAAGTTGAATATATTTCCGGAAAAGTTGAATATATTTCCGGAAAAGTTTAATATATTTCCAGAAAAGTTGAATATATTTCCGGAAAAGTTGAATATATTTCCGGAAAAGTTTAATATATTTCCAGAAAAGTTTAATATATTTCCAGAAAAGTTGAATATATTTCCGGAAAAGTTGAATATATTTCCGGAAAAGTTTAATATATTTCCGGAAAAGTTTAATATATTTCCAGAAAAGTTGAATATATTTCCGGAAAAGTTGAATATATTTCCGGAAAAGTTTAATATATTTCCAGAAAAGTTTAATATATTTCCAGAAAAGTTGAATATATTTCCGGAAAAGTTGAATATATTTCCGGAAAAGTTTAATATATTTCCGGAAAAGTTTAATATATTTCCAGAAAAGTTGAATATATTTCCGGAAAAGTTGAATATATTTCCAGAAAAGTTTAATATACTTTCCGGAAAAGTTTAATATATTTCCAGAAAAGTTGAATATATTTCCGGAAAAGTTGAATATATTTCCGGAAAAGTTTAATATATTTCCAGAAAAGTTTAATATATTTCCAGAAAAGTTGAATATATTTCCGGAAAAGTTGAATATATTTCCGGAAAAGTTTAATATATTTCCGGAAAAGTTTAATATATTTCCAGAAAAGTTGAATATATTTCCGGAAAAGTTGAATATATTTCCAGAAAAGTTTAATATACTTTCCGGAAAAGTTTAATATATTTCCAGAAAAGTTGAATATATTTCCGGAAAAGTTGAATATATTTCCGGAAAAGTTTAATATATTTCCAGAAAAGTTTAATATATTTCCAGAAAAGTTGAATATATTTCCGGAAAAGTTGAATATATTTCCGGAAAAGTTTAATATATTTCCGGAAAAGTTTAATATATTTCCAGAAAAGTTGAATATATTTCCGGAAAAGTTGAATATATTTCCGGAAAAGTTGAATATATTTCCGGAAAAGTTGAATATATTTCCGGAAAAGTTTAATATATTTCCGGAAAAGTTTAATATATTTCCAGAAAAGTTTAATATACTTTCCGGAAAAGTTTAATATACTTTCCGGAAAAGTTTAATATTTTTCCGGAAGTTTAATATAGTTACAAACGTTTTTACAATTTCAGGAAAAGTTGTAAAATCATCTAAAAATGTTTTTCCGGAAAACATTTATTTACAAATGATTTTACAACTTTTCCGAAAATTGTAAAAACATAGAGAAAGTTTACAAAAACATCTATTTTACAATTTCCGGAAAACATTTTTTTATGTTTTACAATTTCCGGAAAACAAATAAACAAAACAAGTTTGCACCCTTTTACATTTACAATTTAATTTTAATATTGTTTCACCTATTCATTTTCATTGGTGTCATCATTTGTTGTTGTTGATGCTCTCCCATCCTAAGCAACAAAGGATTTTGCATTTGTTGAGGTAAAGAACCACGGACAGCACTTAATTCTTGATATGATGGGGGTGGGGCAATAGCTTCTTGTTTAATAATTTTTTGTTCATCAATTTCAGTTTTAGGGACGACTAGAGGATTGTTTTGGGGAGAAGTTGCTAAAGGAATTAATGATGAATGTCGCTTGTTGTTAACACGAATTAATGCTTAAAAAGAAAATTTTTTTTCATTTTTCAATATTATTCCTCTACCTCCATTCCCATTTCGCTGAAAAGTTGGCCTCATTGGTCGACGCCCATCTAGACGCATTTGACCTGTCCGGTCAAGTAATTCACTAACTTGTGGATTTAATATTTGTTGTTGTTGCCCTTCCATTTGTTGTTGTTCCATCCAGGGAGGGAAATCAATGTCCTCAATACAAGCAGAAGTCTCAAGGTTTGGAGAAAAACGAGTGTTGCCACCAGTAACAGAAAGAGTAGAATTTGCACGAGGTCTGAAAAAATAAAATGAAACTTGAGGGTAAAAAAGGGAATTTAAGAAAAAAATTTAGAAAATATCGGAATTTAATCTTAAACAGAGAATTAATGCAACGTATGTGAATAATATTTTTAAGCAAATAGAAAAATACAAAACTTGAAAGATTCAAGTTTAAGACTTAAAACAAGTTTGAAAAGATCAAACTTGTTTATTTTCAGGTTTAAAAAAAGTTTTTAGCAACCTATCGCAAACTTTAAGTTTATAATCTTAAGATCTTAAACATGTTTCAATTTAAGTTTAAACTTAAAATAAAACTTGAAACCAAGTTTACAACCTTAATAAAATTAAAACTTAAAGTACAAACTTGAAAGAATATCAAAACTTGAAACAATTACAAACTTGTTTATTTTCAAGTTTTAAATAAAGTTTTAAAAAAACTACCTCAAACTTTAAGTGTATATCTTAAGATCTTAAAACATGTTTCAATAAAACTTGAAACAATTTAAAACATTAATAAAATAAAAACTTAAAGTACAAACTTAAAAAATATCAAAACTTGAAACAACTATAAAACTGTTTATTTTCAAGTTTTAAACTAACAATAAGTTTTAAGCAAATTATCGCAAACTTCAAGTTTATAAAGCAAATAATTTTAAGTTTCATTTAATTTAAAGAAAATTAACCTAAACATAAAATTGTTGTTAACACTGCCAGCAACCCCTCCACCGCCGCCACAAATCGGACCTTCTCCTACAACACATACACCTCCTCCAACCATTTCTGCATTTGTCCCACATGGCATCTCTTCATGACAAATATCATTGGGGTATGATAAATCCTGTAAAGAGGCAGCTTCCATCGAATAACAATCTTCATGTTTTATATCTTTGTTTAAATGCTCAACACGTTTTCGGGCAGTTCCACGTCGTTTTCGATCCATGGCAGTTTTACTAGAATTTTCCATAGTGTTGGCACGACGACGAGGGTTACGACCAGGTTTCGCTAAAAAATAAAAAAAAATAAAAATACAAGTTGGAAAACTTGAAACATTTACAAATTAGGAAAACTTGAAACATTTACACATTAAAGTTGAAAAAAGTTTGCAAACTTAAAACAAGTTTAAAACTTAAATTCAAGTTCAAACTTAAATATTTAAGTTTACGAAAAGTTTGCAAACTTAAAACAAGTTTAAAACTTAAATATTTAAGTTTACGAAGTTTTAAACTTTAAATAAGGCTAAAACTTAAAACAAGTTTAAGCTTAACTACTTAAGATTGCAAGTTTTAAAATAAATAATGTTTCAAGTTTATAGTTTTGAAATAAAACAAAAAATACACTCACCATCAGGATTAATGACCCACCAACTGCTTTTTCCTGCGCCTTCGTTTTGAATACGCATAAAACGGCTGTGCAAGGAAAGATTGTGTCTGATTGAGTTCTGTGATGGGAGAAAGATTTAATCAAAGTTATATTTGCTATTTTTTGTAATTTTCAGAATTTTAAAATGTTCAGAATTTTTCAGAATTTAAAAAGAAGGGAAAATCATAAAAAAAAATATTTAAGGAGAACAGAAAACACCTTCCATCCCTGTGCGTCTTCCTGACTTGAACGCCCAGCAAAATAGGGCACATTTTCAGAAAACCACTGATAAATTTCATTAAGTTTTAATCGCCCTTCGGGGGCTGTATTTAATGCTCTAGCAATTAAATCTGAATAAGACTCATTCCCCCAAGGATTTGGCTTCCTTCCATAATCTGTTGGAAGTTGATGAAAATTTTCATTTTCGTTTGTTTTTCGTCTAATTCTTTTAGGTTTTATTTTCTTTTGTTGTTGTTGAGAAAATTCTAAAATTGATGAAGAAACAACAAAGTTTGAATTTAATTCTGGTTGTTGTTTAAGTTTTAAAAGACTTGTAAGAGAAGAATGCGAATTACAACAAGAAACATTTTCTTCCTCAACTAAAGAGGATGTTGAGGGAATGTTTGGAATACAATTATTAAAATGTTGTTGGTTTATTTGTTTGTTTATTCCAGAAATGTTTTGTGGCCCTTAAAAACATATAAGGGATGTTTTTGTTGGAAGTTTTGTTTATTTTTGTTTGGATGTTTTTCTTTTTAATTTTCTTGTTTGTTGAATGTTTTTTCGAGTTTAAAAACATGTGGAATGTTCGTTTAACAATAAAAACACGAGTGTTTTTATTTACCCAAACATAAGAGAATTAAAAAGAGGGCAGTTTTGTTGTATGTTTTGTTTGGATGTTTTGTTGACTCTTTTTAATTTTCTTGCTTGTTTGAGTAAAACATGTTTTTGTTGGATGTTTTCGATGGATGTTTTTTCGAGTTTAAAAACATGGCAAATGTTTGTTTAACAATAAAAACACAAGTGTTTTTATTTATCCAAACATAAGAAAATTAACAAGAGGGATGTTTTTGTTGAATGTTTTGTTTGGATGTTTTGCTGACTCTTTTTAATTTTCTTGTTTGTTTGAGTAAAACATGTTTTTGTTGGATGTTTTCGATGGATGTTTATCAAGTTTAAAAACATGGGAAATGTTCGTTTAACAATAAAAACACGTATGTTTTTATTTACTCGAACATAAGAAAATTAAAAAGAATGTTTTTACAAACATGTGTAAGAACGCGCTCGCTGCTCTGGTTCAACACAACATGTTGAGGAGGAGTCACAAAAAACATCATCGTCTTCTAAACATTCCTCATTAGAAATTTGTTGGGTGGAAACTTGTTGGGTAGAAACTTGTTGCAAAACATTTGAATGTTGCCCAACTTGTTTTAAACAACTTTGTTCTTCACAAACTTGAGTTTGTGGAAAAACTTGTATTTTCTGGGCAATATTTGTTTGTTGCATAGAATTAGTAGAAGACTGAAGAAAACATGGAGGGGAAGAGTTTAAGTCAAAATTTGAAGAATTATTAGTTGTTGGTGGCTCCATTTAATTTTAAAAATTTTTTCCCTATTTTGGAAGAAAGCCAAAAAATATTAAAAATAGAAAACTAGTTGTTTACGTAAAAATAATAAATTATTTAATGAATCATTTTTAATAGTAGTACATTTAGATATTTAATGAGTAGAGAATTAATTGTTATTAAAAAAAAGTAATAGAAAAAAGGTGCAAATATTAAATAAAAAATTATTTTTTTATCATTGCAAAAAAGATGTTATTTTTCTTAAATTTTTATCTAGTATAAATAAATTTAAAAAATATTTTTTTAAATCAAAAAATATAAAAAAATTTCCTTGGGATCAATTGTCTCACATTTATTTTAAGTATTTAAAATTAAGGTCAAGATTGTCCAAGAGAAGTAATATAATTATTTTTTATTTAACACACCCCAAAAGGTCTCAAAAGAATTATATCAGAATTAATTTTCAACTTAAACGGAATAAATATAATTCTGGGATAAACTGTCTCATACTTATTTTAACTAGAATTAGGGTCAAGTCTTGGCCAAGAAAGGTAGTTTAATTATTTTTAGTTTAATCCAACCCCTATACGTCTCAAAAGAATTTTATCAATTCAATCTTTCACTTAACTTAAGGTAAGTAATCCCAATTAAAGTTTGGGATCAATTGTCACTCTCCAAAATATTTTTCGTTTATTGATCAACATATGTTCTCTCCCAAATAACGGAAAAATATTAAAGAGAGAAAATATTTTAAAAGAAAAAAAAAATTTTTAGAAAAGTTTGGTAGATGTGTAAACTAAAAATTAAATAGTAGAAAAGGTGGGGAGTCGTTCTCGACGGGAAAATAGAAAAAGAACAAATTTTTGAAGGGAAAAAAGATGATTGAACTAGAAAAGAGAAATATTAGAACAAATAAAATGAAACAAAAAATAAGGTTTTTAGTTAAAAAGAAGAAAAAAGGTCAATCCTTCCACCCACCACACCCCCCCCCCCCCCCACAAAGGGAGGATAAAGAAGGAAGAAGAAAAGGGGATAGAATTTGGGGGTAGAAAATTTGGAGGGATGAAAGAATAATGAAAAGGCAAAAATTAGAAACAAAGAAAAAAAACAATTATTCGCTAATTAGAAAAAAAAAGGATTAAAAATTAAATAAAATTAAAAAACCGAAAATTTGGAAATTAAAAAATTAAAATATTCAAATTGAAGCTGTGAGGAGACCTTTCCCTTTGAGTAATTAAAAACTCAGACTTTTTTCGTCCAAAAAAAATTTTTTTAAAAAGAAAATTTTTTGAGACATTTGGTCCCAAATCCCTTTCATTTTCTCGAAAAGAAAAAAGAATTTGGGACCAAATGTCTCAAAAAATTTTTTTAATAGAAAAAAAGAAAAAAAAGGAATTTGGGACCAAATGTCTCAAAAAATTTTTTTAATAAAAAAAAAAAAAGAAAAAAGAATTTGGGATCAAATGTCACCCATTTTTCAACCAATGCTTCGAAGGTCTAACAAATTTCTTTTAAATGTAAGAAAGGTCCCCCTAAAGGAGAAAAGAACAATTTTATTAGCTAATTAGGGAAGAATCAGGATTAATTTTTAATCGAGATTGAATCACCCTTGTCCCGCAAGTAAGCAATTTTAATTCTGATTTTAAATGTTCCAAGTTCAAAATACAACAATTGAAAATTAGGAAAATTAAAATTTCAAATCAGCGTGAGGCTAGAAATTATTTTCTTAATTTAGGAGAAGCACAAAAAAACTTTAATACTAAAAATAATAAAATGACGAGAATAGGGAATGGCCGTGAATATTAAAAAAAAAATAAAATATAAAGTAGAGTAGATAGTGGCCTTGAGGATAAGAAAAAATCGATTTTTTGGGGGAGAATGGACACAAGAAAAAAAATATAAAAAGTAAAAATTAGAGGAATGGAGAAAAAATAAAAAAATAAGAGGGCAGATGGTGGTGATGTGAGGTCTCTCAAAAATACCAATCTATCAACTAACTGCTGCTATGGGGACGAGAAAATTGTTGGGTGAGTGAAGGGAACGAACGGAAAAGTTTTTTTCAGAGTTGGGGAAGAAGAAAAATGGGGGGAAATTAAAATAATTCTGAAAAATTAAATTCTGATTTTTCCGGAAAACACAAATGTATTTTTTAAAATTAAAACATATGTATTCCGGAAATAGTATGTGTTTTCTTTTTCAGAATTTTAGTAAAACACAAAAAATACAAAAACACATTCCTCCGGAAAATACATTCCGGAAGCAAAAAATCAGAATTATGTACAAAGCAGAATTAAAAGTAAACACAAAACACAAAAATTAATTCTGAAAAAATTCTGAAAAATTAAATTCTGATTTTTCCGGAAAACACATGTATTTATTTTTAAAATCAAAACACATTCCGGAAACAATAAAATCAGAATTACTTTTTCAGAATTTTTAGTAAAATACAAAAATAAATTCTGAAAAATTAATTCTGATTTTTCCGGAAAACACATATTTAATTTTTTAAATTAAAAACACATCCGGAATGTGTTTCCTATTTCAGACATTAAGTAAAACACAAAAATTAAATTACAAAAAATTAATTCTGAAAATATTCTGAAAAATTAAATTCTGAAATTATTGACTACTAATTGTGAGCATATTAAATTATTTGTATTTCCCCACCTTCCAACCAGCACTGCTGTTTGAATCTCCCTTGTCCCGAAAGTACGCAACATTGTGTACCATCCACTCGTAGACTTGACTAAGTGTTAAACGTTGTTCTGGAGAAGCTAAAATTGCTTGGGTGATTAAATCTGCATAAGACATATTTCCCCAAGCATTTCGACGAGTAGAGGATTTTTTAGAAGCAATTGAAGCAGATGAGGAACAGGGGAGTGCTTGTCCGCCTACTAAAGGTGATTCAGCACGGGAGGAGTCGCCACCGAGAGCAGAGTCTGGGCGGTCTCTGAAAAAAAATTAAATTTAAAATTTACTTAATTTCTAAAAAATAATTCTGATTTTATCATTTCCGAAATTTGTCCAGAAAATACAAAAAAATACAATCCGGAAAACATAAATACAAAAATGTATTTTATTTTTGTATTTTCTGTTTTAATTTATGATTAAAATGTATTTTCCGGAATAAAATTCGAATTTTATTTAGCTCTTGTGTTTTCCGGAAAATACAAAAAATACAATCCGGAAAATCCAAAAAAAAGTAATTGTATCTTGTATTTTCTGTTTTAATTTAAGAAACAAATAAAAATAAAATGTATTTTCCGGAATAAAATTCTGATTTTATTTTAATGTGTTTTTTTTATTTTCTGGAAAAATACATATTAATTCTGAATTTTTGTAAATGTATTTTTAAGTTTAATTTTTCCGGAAAATTCTGATTTTTATTCTTTGAATAAACTTTTTCCGGAATAATTGTTTCCGTAAAATTCTGAAATTAATTTCTTTTATAATTTTTGTGTATTTTCCGGAAATTAAAATTAGCCCAATATATCAACTCCAATATATTAAAAACTCACTCAATATAACTCAGTGGCTCCTCTGTAAATTCGTCAAATGTTGGACTCTGTTGATGAGATAATCCATCTAGTCGTATTCCACCAGACAATAAAGGGTCTGTTGTTATTCCCCTTTGGGGGATATTGGAAGAATAGGACTCAACAACACAATCGGCGTCTTCGTCGTAAATACTGCTGGAAAAAAAATTTATTAAAAATACAAAAAAATTTTTAATAAAAGAAACACAACAAAAACACAACTATTAAAAAATCCCCCTACCTTTCCTCCTCCGGAATTCTGTCGTGAATTAACGGTGAAGTCTGCGCTTGTCCTTCTATACTCATTGCTCGACGCATTGGCCATGTATTACAGCGGTCCCTCGGCACCTAAAATCAATGAAGGATAAAAATAGAATAAATTAAATAGATAGAGAATCGATAATTTAAAAAATCGATGGATGCAAAAAATTAAATTAAGAAATTGGCAAATTTCCCATGTTTTTAGGGCTTCCGGAAAGAGAGGCAACTGCCTTTTAAGGCGGTCGGCAACATTATAGAGAAAATTAACACATGTATTTTCCGGAAATAAGTTATAAAATAGACTAAAAGTTGTGTATTTTCCGGAAGAATTATATAGTTTCCGGAAAATTATTTAAAAAATACATGTGTATTTTCCGGATCATATATTTACAGAAACTATATATTATTTAATGTATTTTCCGGAAACTCGTATATAATAAAATGTATTTTCCGGAAACTCGTGGCTCCCATACAAAATACCGAATTCTTAAAATATGGAATCTCAAAATCGCGAATCGGCTAAAAAAGCTCAAAATATGGAATCTCAAAATATCGAATCTCAAAATATGGAATAGGCAAAAAAAGCTCAAAATATCGAAAAATATCGACAATGCGGCAAAGGCCAGTTGAGTCTGAACAAAGTTGTGACCAACTTCTTCGTAAAAAAATTTTAAAAATAAGAGAAAGTATTTTTCTAAGGTAAAAAAATGTGCTGATTACGAATCTCAGCTCGGATTTTGAAAAAGTCGAATCCCGGACCCGAACCGAATTTCGAATCCCGAACCGAATTTCGAGTTTCCGAATGATAGCTCATCTGAAAGAGCACGTCGAGCTGCATCGAATGATACCAAAATCAATGAAATCCGACCTGATTGGACTGAGTTACAGATCCCTGAATAATCAGAAAAAGACCTGCAGCGGCACTCAAACGGCCCTTTTCGTTTTTAAAAAATTCGACATTTTTAACTACTTTTTAGCCGATTCGGTATTTTGAGCTTTTTTGGCCGATTCGCGATTTTGAGATTCGATATTTTAAGATTCCATATTTTGAGCTTTTTTGGCCGATTCCATATTTTGAGATATTTTTACCGATTCGCGATTTTGAGCTTTTTTAGCCTATTCGCGATTTTGAGAATTCGGTATTTTGTGCGGGCACGAAACTCGTATATAATTAAATATGTATTTTCCGGAAAATATTTTCCGGAATAAACTATATAAATTTGTATTTTCTTTAGCATCCGGAAATTATTCATAAATACATTTGTATTTCTCTCGTGTATATTTAAACATGTATTTTCCGGAAAACAAATTCTCGGCTCTATCTGAAAGGAGGTGCGGCATCATATTTTTTCCTCCTTCCTTACACAACCTTTCATTTTTCCTTAATATGAAAAAATGGTCAGTCTTTCTTCCTTCCTTATTTTACTAAAATTCCTTGTGGCATAGTCAAATGAAAATGGTCATCATTATGATTTTTGAATCATGTCAGGCTAACTTACGGAACAGACAAAACACGGATCATACCAAAACTCGGAACAGACAAAACACCGTCTTACCAAATCAAGGAACGACCAAATAACAGAGCGACCATAACACGGAATGAACAAAAACTGACCGAAGATCTGGTCTGTGATGTGGTAAGACGGTAACTTGTCCGACCTTTTTGTCGTTCCATCTCCTGTCTGTTCCGTCCTGACAATGGCAATGATGAAAAAATTAGTCCTTTCCTTATTAATGTCTCTCATTTGAATATGCCACAGGGAAAATTAAGAGCGTGGAAAAGACTGACCATTTTTTCATATTAAGGAAAAATGAAAGGTTGTTTAAGGAAGGAGGAAAAAATATGATCCCGCACCTCCTTTCAGATAGTGCCAAATTCTCTATCATTAAATACAAAAATTCCTCACCGGTTCCAACTCTTCCAAATCCCCACGCACATCAGGCGAAAAATTATGAGGATGCAACAAAATATTCGTTCCAGTTCCAAAACATCCACTTCCTCCAATCCCACTCAAAGAAGAAAGTCCAGAATCATTAGCCCCACCAACAACACCTCCCCCACTTCCACAAATACTTCCAGAAAGAGGTACTAAATGAGGTTGACTTCCACTTGAACTTGAAGGGGAACAACACATATTTGTTGTTGTAGTCATCATTAAATGTTGTTGTTGTTGGTGTGATTGTTGTTCAATTATATCCCCTCCAAGTTGACACAAAGTAGAGCCTGAGGAGGTTTGATGAAAGAGGTAGGGAGTTGGTTGTTGTTGTTGTTGTTGTATTTTTGTTATTGTTGGGTCTTGAGGAGAAATAAATGTTGAGGAGGAAACTGTTGAAGGAGATAAACCTGTTGTTCCTACCATTGATGTTGAGGCTTCTGAAAATGGGAGAAATGTGTTTATTTTAGTTTATAAGTATTTTCAATAAAATTCCGAAATTCTGATTTTTCCGGAAAAATATTTACATTTATTCAGAAATACAATAAAGTTTATTATACTTAAAGATAAAATACAAAAAAATGTATTTTCTCTTGCGTATTTTCCGGAAAAATAAATAAATACAAAAAAAGTATTTTCTATTCCGTAAGGAATAACTATGGTGTATTTTCAGGAAAAATCTCTAGTGTATCTTCCGAAATATATTTTATTTTCCGGAAGAAATTGATGAAAGGGAAATATGCATTTTCCGGAAACAACTTCTAAAGAAAATACATTTAAGGTTGTATTTTCCGGAAGAATTTTAAAGATAAAATACAAGTGATTTTTCCGGAAGCAAATTAATTGTTGTGTTTTCTTTTGGTAACTTTTCCGGAACAGAAATATATATTTTTCCGGAAAATAATTTTAATTAATTTTTCCGGAATCTAAAAATCCGGAAACTTTAGCAATTACTACCTTGATGCATTCCATAAACTGGTGGTCTTCCACCCATAGAAGTATTTCCAAAATTAATAATTGTATCCGGTAATTGTTGTTGTTGTTGCTGTTGTAAATTCATTTTATTTACCACCATCCCTTCATTCCAATTTTGTTGTTGTTCTTGTCTTCCAAAACCGTTAAAAGAATTTATTTGATTTTCAGTAGAGACTGCTGTTGAAGCAAGAAACGAAGCTGCAAATAATTGTGGTGAACCTGTTGGCGTAGATGAAGGATAAATTCCCCAACGACACAGAGGGGAAGGGGAATGTTGCTCGGTACTTATGGCCGAAATTGTTGTGTTTTCTTTTGCTGATGGCAAAATATTTTGCTCAGCAATGAATTGATTATTAAAGTTTTTTTGAGGGAATGTAGTAGAGAGAGATGAGGAAGTTGAAGAAGAAGAATTTGAGGATGGTGAAGTCGTCGTGAATTTTTTTTGAATAAAAAAATAGGTCGACTTAATTGAAATATTTTTTTGTAATTTAGAAAATAAGCGCTGTATTCACCGGTTTATAGAGTTTAATAAGAATAAAAGTTTTGAGGACTAGGATCTGTAAAAATAAATTTTAAAAAATTAATCCTTTAATTAATTTATTATAAAGTGAAGCAAAAAAATTAATCGAAAACTAGGGGAAAAGTAGGCGAAAACGACGTCTACTCAAAGTTATGTAAAATTGCCAAAACATAATCAAAAAATCTGAAATTTTGCAAAGATGTTCAAAATATCCTTGTCTAGTTTGTCTAAAATTTTCAGAATTTTAAGTTTCATACGAGTTCTGGTCGAAAAAGTCGAAATTTCACTAAAAATGCCTATATTTTTTAAAACTACGTCTACTCAAAATTATGTAAAATGGCTAATACGAAACCAAAAAATCAGAAATTTTGCAAAGACGTTTTCAATACATGTAGCTAACTTATCTAAAAATTTCAGAAATTTTTGTTTTATAATTTTCGAGTTCTGGTCGAAAAAGTCGGAATTTCACTAAAAAACGCCTATATAATGTACTATTAAATGCCATAACTTTAAAAATATTAAACCTAAAATTCTAAAATTTTAAACTTAGTTAAACAACACTTTTAAGATTAGCCAAACAAAATTTTATAGTTAAAAGTGCTCATCAATTTAAATTATAAAAATACGCGTCTGAACGTTACCGAAGCAACACAAGCGTTTTTACTCCCCCCAAACATTTTTAAATAATTAAGAGAGAAAAAAAATAAATTTAAAGTTTGTGGGGATTAAAAAAAAGCAAGTGTGAACTTGAAAAGTTTTTAAGTGTGAAAATAAGTTTCAAGTTTAATATAAGGTGTTTACATTTAAATAGGGTATTATAAAAAAACTATTTATTCAACTTTTGCATTTATAGTGTATTAAAAAAAAATTTTTTTTTGAATTTTAAATAAAAGTGCATAATCAGAGAATGGGGAGAGAAATATAAATTTCAGAAAAAAAATAAAATTTTTAGGGGTGGGAAGAAAAATAAAAAAATATATAAAAACAGAGAGAAGTGTGTAAACAATTTTTGTGTGTTTCAATTTTTTGCACTTTTAATCTAGTTGTTAAGGCAGAAATTTGGCAAAAACATAAGTAGAGGGAAGGGGGAGATACTTTTAAATTTAAAAGAAAATAAAAAAAAAGGAGAAAGAAAGAAGAATTTTCGGTTTTTGAACAACAAAAGATGGGGAGTGTTATGATTCTCTTTTTTTTTATTTTTTTAAGTCCAACCCTAATTTTATCAAATTATTAAATAGGTAATAAATCAAGAGTACAAAGTAGAAAACTCAATAAAAAAATTTTTTAAAGAAAAATTAAAAGAAATTAGGGGAAAGGTTATTGAAACAAGTTTCATAAAAAATTAATTGAGATTTTATAGAGTTTGGTTGAAGCAAAACTTTTAATAAACTTGAAACATTTAATAAACTTGAAACAAACATTTATGAAAAAACAAAACATTTAAACAAACATATAAACTCGAAACAAACATTTTATAATTAAGCCTGCAACAAGTTTAAATAAAAACTTGAACATAAACATTTAAATAAACAAGGAACATGTTCATATAAACAAAGACAACCATCTACAAACAAAACAATAAATAAACATAAACATTTATTAAATAAACTTGAAACAAACATCTATAAACTTAAGAATGAATTTAATAAACTTGAAACTTGAAAATAAACTTGAAAATGAACATTTTAAAATTAAACTTGAAGCAAGCTTAAATAAACTTTGTTTATTCTAAAAATAAACTTGAAGCAAAAAAAGAATAAAAGTGAAGCAAAAACTTAAAAATAAAAAGATCAACCAAAAATCAAGAATAAAAAAACAAAATTTAACAAAAAAAAGAAACATTTAAAAAGAAACATAAAAGTTGATAAATAATGTATCAATTGTTTAAAGTACAAAATAAAACATAAGGTGACTGAAAGGTAATATACTAGTTTTACTTAAATTAAAATGACAGCTGACAAGATCGAAGATTCATTGAAAGGGCGAAAAAATTTTTAATTAAAAGTTAATATATTAAATTAGAAAATGAAGCGGAATTAAATTTGTTAAAATAAAGTAAAAAATAGAAGGAAGCAAAAATGAGGTATTTTAATGGAAATGAAGCAAAAAGAGAATAAAAAGGAAAATATGAAGCACAAAAGAAAAATGAAGCAAAATTGAACAAGTTTAATTAAAATGAAGCAAAAATATAAAATAATTATTAGAACTTGAAGCAAATACAATTAAACAAAACATAAGGCATGCAAGTTGCTAAAAACTTACAATTTGCAAAAAAAACTTGAAACATTTACAAATTGAAAACAGTTTTGAACACAAACTTGAAGCAATTTTTCCAACTTGAAGGAATACAATTAAACAAGACAGAAGCATTTACAAATTGTAAAAAACTTAAACATTTACAAATTGAAAAAAGTTTATAAACTTAAATTTGAAGCAATTTTTCGAATTTGAAACATTTACAATTAAACAAAAAGTTTAATTTCTAACTTGAAGCAAGTACAATTTTATATCAAAACTTGCTTCTCAATAACCTAAAAAATGCTTCATTTCACTAACCCAAAATGAAACTTAAAACGCTTCTTTCTTAAAAACTTTTTAAGTTTGCACTTTAAGAGTACAAGAATAAAAGCATTTAAATTTGTTTTAATAATGCGCGTGTTGGGGAGAAGAAAGAAATGAAGCGTTTTAAAACAGTGACGGCACTAAAGAGTGGAGGTGTTTAAAAAGTTGTTTATCAAGTATTAGCGAGTAGATTATTAAAAAATTTTTAACTAGACATAAAAAACTCGAGGAATTTAAGGATTTAAAAGTTTTTAAAAAATTTTTGAAAACAAGAAAAAAGTTTCAATTACTAAGTAAGGATAAAAAGCTCGTTTTAGAGGGAAATGTTAAAATAAAAAAATTGCCAAAAGTTGAGATAAAATTATAAAATTTTGTATACATCATTTTAAACGTGTTGACTTGTTTCTCTAAAAACTTATATTTTTTGATTGCCTAAATTTAAAGTTATAGCCAAAAATGCTCAAAAAAGGCTAAAAATGCCTTGTTTCAGGTGTGAATTTTTGACCGTAACATTCTCAAAATTAGACATAAAATCATGAAATTTTGTAGACATAATTTTAATAGTGTCAACTTGTTTCTCTAAAAATTTTATAATTTTTGACTGACTAGAAAAAAAGTTATAGCTCAAAAATGCTCAAAAAAGGCTAAAAATGCTGCCGTGCTTTAGGTGCTGAATTTCGATCACAACTTTTTTAAAAATGGACATAAAATCATGAAATTTTGCATACAAAATTTTAATAGTGTCAACTTGCTTCTCTAAAAATTTTAGAATTTTTGATTGGCTAGAAAAAAAGTTATAACCAAAAAATGCCCAAAAATAGCTAAAAATGCTGCCTTGCTTTAGGTGTTGATTTTCGATCACATCTTTTTTAAAAATGGACATAAAATCATAAAATTTTGCATACATAATTTTAATAGTGTCAACTTGTTACTCTAAAAATTTCATAATTTTTGATTGGCTAGAAAAAAAGTTATAGCCAAAAAATGCTCAAAAAAGGCTAAAAATGCCTCGTTTAATGTCTATTAACGACCATAATTTCTTTTAAAAATAAATAAAAAAAATTTATTTAAAAATAATTAAAAACTAAGAATTCTGGGCTTTTGAATAATATAAAAATTATTAAAATTGGATTCAGTTACAGTTTTCAATTTTTAATTTTATTTAATGGCGTGCTAATGAGAAGGGCAGAACACACATTTTATATAATATTTAAACAGCTTATAAAATCCTTAACATTTTATCCGTTCGAAAAAATCGGTAAGGGATTATATAAGCGGATTTAATAAAAAAATTGAAAATTATTTGGATAAATGTCAGTCTGGAGAAAAAAAAAATTAAAACATTTTTTTGCTAACAGAAAAAAATTGTCTGCAGCAAAACCGTTAAGTTTTATGCAGTTGTAAACTTTCTGCTTTTTGTATGTCTAAATAGGATCCGGAAAATTCCGGATTGAAAATAGAGAAGTTAGAAGTTATAAATAAAAATATTTCTCAAATATTCCGGAAAGTAGAGTGTATCATTAATATAATGTATTTCCGGAAAATAGATAGTCCGGAAAGATGTTACAAATAGTTTCTGGAAAATACAATCCGGAAAATACAATAAAAAAAATATTTCCGGAAAAGTCCTAAACAATACATATATTATCAGAAAATGTGTTTTTCCGGAATAATAAATTATTAATAAATGTTTCCGGAAAATTTCCGGAAATAAGCAGTTTCTGGAAAATGTCTTAAATATTTTTTCCGGAAACATAATAATATTTCCTGAAAAATCCGGAATAAATATTCCGGAAAAATGTATTTTTCAGGTGTTTTCCGGAAAAGAATATTATAAGTAATATATGTAGTTTCCGGAAAATGTGTTTTTCAGGAAAATACATTATTAATAAATGTTTCCGGAAAATTTCCGGAAATAAGAAGTTTCCGGAAAATGTCTTAAATATTGTTTCCGAAAACAATAATATTTCCGGAACATAATAATATTCCGGAAAATCCGGAATGATATATTCCCTTCCGGAAAAGAAGAGTTACAAGTATAATAATATACATATATATGTTTCCGGAAAATACATATAATTTCCGTATTTTTATGAATTTCAGGTTAGACATAGTTCTGGTTAGACAATATTTATATGACGCGTGTGAACTTAAGAAAGACAAAATTAATTATTTGCAAGCATGCTACAACTTTAATTTAAAAAGTGTAAAATATTTACGTATTTAATAATTATATTCTATGAAAAACAGATTTAAAATTGAAAAAAAAAATCGAAAAAAATTAAACAAAAAAATTTAATCTTTTAATAACGTCATTAGCAACAGAAAATTAAAACGCGCAAAAAATATGTGACGAGATAAGTAGCCTGTAGAAAATGTTAGTGTGTGACTTTGGCACTCTTATTTAAAAAGTTTTTTGAGGGAAAAAATGTGAAAAAAAGAGGAGAGAATATTGAAAGACAATTGAGACATAGTATGATAATGAAAAAAGGATATTTTAACTTTAATAAAGTGCAAAAAAAAATGGCATATTAATGTCTAGCCGAGTTAGACTTGAAAGGTATTTAGTTAAGTAAAAATGTAGGTGGGTGGGAAAAATAAAGAAAAAATAAAAGAAAAGTTGAGAAAAAAGCCGGTATTAAATTTTAAGAAAAAATAATAATTAATTATAAAAATTTAAAAAATTGTTTCCTAGATTTGCTAACGTTTATGATATTTTGTAGCACATAAAGTAATAAACTTGAAACAATTAAAAATATAAAAGTGCAGCATGTTTTATTATTAAAACAAGCATATTTTTAAAAACAAGTTTTAAAACAAGTTTAGCGCATAGAATAATAAACTTGAAATAAATTTTAAAAGAGATAAAAAACATAAAAACACAAGTTTTGTTGAAACAAGTTTATTTAAAAACAAGTTTAAACTTGTTTTTCAAACATGTTATAAATAAACTTGAAACTTGCTGCGCTTTTATTTTTAATTAAAACTTGTTTTAAAACAAACTTAAGTTTTAGTTAACCAAAACTTAAGTTTGTAAACTTAAAAGTTGCAAATTAAAACTTGACAGTAAAAATACAATTCCGGAAAGTTGTAATATACTTTCCGGAAAATATAAAAATTTAATATATGAATTAACTAAAAAAAAGTTTTAATGCTTTGAAAGTTAAGTAAATGTGGGCATTAATAATTAAAATTACAAATACCCAAAAAGGATTATATATTAATGACGCAGCATAGAAAAGCGTGAAAAACACACGTTTTTCTATTGATTTTAATTTTTTGGCCCAAAACTTCCTCCTCTCTATTTTCTCCTTTTAAACGTTGCCAAAAATGGATTGAAAAGAATTTTTTCTCTCAAAAAAATTTTTAAAATAAAAAGTGATATAAGGGCCAAAAATGAAAGAAAAGTTAAAAAGAAAAATTAGTAATACCTATTATTTATTTATTTATTCTTCGAATCCAATCGCAGTAAAATTAAAAGAAAAATCAAATAAAAGAAAATTCAGGCAAAAATAAATTTATAAGAGACAAAGGTAAAATATTTATATAAATGTTTTTGGTCTCCGATTAAAATAAAAAAAGTATGGTAATCTTAAAAATGATATTTAATTAATATCAGGAAAAATCGAGAGAAAACGGGAGAAAATAAAAAAAAATAGAGAAAATTAGAGAAAATAAAGAAAGGTAATTAATGAACAATAGAGACAATCTTTCCGGAAATATAAAATTTAAATGAAGTATTTCCGGATAATTCTTTTATTGTATTTTCCGGAAACAAAAATCAGAATATTAAATAGACTATAAACTTTCCGGAAAAGTTTGTATAAAATAAGGAATATAAAAACACTTTCCGGAAAACACATGAAATAATGAACTTACCGGAAAACACGAAAAACACACTTTCCGGAAAACACATATAAAATCATATACCTTCCGGAAAACACGTATAAAATAATATACTTCCCGGAAAATTTTCCGGAAAATACATTTTCCTGAAAAGTTTTTAATGAATAGAGTATAAAATAAAAAATACTTTCCGGAAAACACATATAATAATATAACCCTTTCCGGAAAACACAAATTTAATAAACATAAACTTAAAATACAAATGAATCCGGTTATATTCAGTAAAAATATAATGTGAATAAAAGAGACATAATAAGAGAGAAAATGACAAATTTAAAATAGAGATAAAAATTAAGGAAGTCAATTTCATTTAAAAGTGCTATTTAAAATTGTCTGTCTATTCTCTAAAAATCTTTTATTTCATTAAAAAAAATAAAGTCCAGTCACTACCAGATCCGGCTATTAATTTATTAATTTATCGAATTTTTTAAAATAATTCAACAAAGTGCAAAAATAAAGAAAAAGAGAAAATTTTTTTGGAACGAGACGGGAAGGAGAACAGTTTTTTTCTTTTAACATTTATGAAGGGTTTTAAAGAAATTGGAGGAAAGTAAAGGAGAAAAGGACATGCGCGCGTTCCTGTTGATTAAAAAAGAGAAAAGGGTAGAAAAGGAGAAGAAGTAATCTTCTTCTTTTTTTCGTTTGAAGATGACAGGAATATGTGAAAAAAAAATAAAATGAAAAAGGAAAAGGAATATAGGGGAGGGAATAATGGGGGGTTTGTAAAGAAGAAGAAAAGGCTCCTACACATTTTGCCAATATCATATTTTGCCAATAAGGGAAAAATCCACGTTTTGTCAATGCGCTTATTGGCAAAATGTGGGATTCTAGCTTTATTGGCAAAATATGGAATTGGCAAAGTGTGACGACACGGAAGAAAAAGAATATTTTTAAAGTCGGGGTTTGAAGGTAGAAAAGAGAAGAAAAAGGAAGAAAAGAAGAAGAAAAGGTAAGGTGACATTTTATCCCAGCCGGCTGGCAGGAACCCTAGCCTATGGCCAAACATTTCTAATAAAGAAAGAGAATGTCCATTTTTGCTCTTCCCAAGAGTAAAAAAAATATATGAAGATTCGAGAAGAACACGAACAGAGTCAAAGAGACCGGCTGGCAGTAACACTTTTCGGCTGGCAATAAGAAAAGAGGGTTGAAGGGAAGGGTGAAAGACTTGGTAAAAAAGAGTAAAACTGGAGGAACGCTAGTTAAATAGAAGAAAAAAGAAAAGGTTAGTTAACTAGAAAACGAGCTATGGGAAAAAAGAGCGACTGGCAGGAGTAGAAAGGGGAATAGAATGGGGAATAGAAAGTAGTTGTCGGCTGGTAATAAAAAGAGAGAAAAAGGGAACGAAAATTTTTTTAAAAGAAAGGAACAGAAAAGAGAGAAAGAGAGCAGTTCACTCTCTTACATCACCCCTCTCTCCATTCCCCTTCTTTTCTCTCCCATTTTCTCTCCCACTTTACAATTGTGGGACCAACTGTCAATCAATTAAAATGGCTGCCTCCAAAACGGCCAAAGGTTGTCGCTACTAGAGTAGTTCTTTTTTTCTTCCTTTCCCTTATCCTCTTACACATTAAAGTCCATAGAGTATTCCTTGCCACAGAGGAGAGCAAATTTAAATAGAAAGGGAAGAATAGTGAGAAAATATTGCTGCCAGCCGGTTATCCTTTATCTTGTGACAATGCCGTTTTTTCGGTTTTTTTGTGCCAAAAGCCTTTTTTATTGATTTTTGGGGATATTTAGATTACGAAATTTGTTGATGGATGGTTGTAGAAAGAAAATTAATTTTTATTTTTGAAAGCAACAAATGCTATTTTAAGGGGTACAGTTAGGCGCGCGGCCATAACGGCGCAAAGCCATAACTTGCTTCAAGATTTCCGAATCCTACCAAATTTAGTATTAAACGATTCCTCTCATCGAGCTAAAGAGTTTGGTACCAAAATTGTTAAGGACAAAAAATTTTCCAGCAAGTTATGGCTTTGCGCCGTTATGGGCGTGCGGCTACTTGGGCGTGTCCCTTTTAAGGGGCTTCAGAAGCCAAAAATTCCAAAAATTATGGAAATTAAAACCAAATGTCATTTTTATATTTTAACAAATCTGTGGACGACTTAAAGAAGCATTTTTAGCAAATTGGCCATTTTCATGCTGCTAATTACCCTTTTTTCTTTATTTTTAAGTAGGGACAGTTGCCATCTGGCACAAAAAATAAGCTTTTTTTTCTTATTTTTGCAGCCAACATTATTTTTTATTGGTCTTTAGCAACATTTAGATGAACACTTTTCACACTTAATTGTCTAAAAATCCATGTGCTGGTCGGTAATACCTAGTTACTTATTTTTGTAGTTGTGTGGCTAGTAGACACAGACACTACCCCCTCCACTACCATTATTAAAATAATTGTTGGAAATTACCCGCGCGCTTTTTAATAATTATTGTGAAATAGAGGGGATGAAAAAAGGGATGAAATAAAGGTAGAAAAACCTCAAAAACAAATAATTAAAAATTGTAAATGCCGATAGATTTATGGTTGTTATAAAAATTATAACCTGTAATTGTCTGCTATATATGTCACAGGGCGTATAAAAATAATGAAGCAAACATTAAACTTGGAAACACAGTAACAATTAAGTTTACAAACTTAGAAAAACTTAAAACACGAGGCAGAGATAAAAACAGAGAAAAACATAAAAACAAAGGGAAATAAACTTTAAACATCTAAACAAACTTAAAAAACAAGTTTATTTAATAATTCAAGTTTTAAGTTTATTAATTCAAGTTTATTTAAAATTTAAGTCTGCAAGTTTAAGCTTAAAAACTTGAAAATAAAATAAACTTAAAAGTTTTTAAGCTTAAGCTTACAAAATTAAATTCTAAATAAACTTGAATTAATAAACTTAAAACTTGAATTATTAAATAAACTTAAAACTTAATAAAAAAATAAACTTGAATTATTTATTTAATAATATTAAGTTTTTATTAAAGGCCATAAAACTTGTTCGTCGCGATTTAATCAAATTAAAGTGCAAGACTTAAAAAGAATTAAATTACAAAATTAACAATCGAATTATATATTTAAATAAAAATGTTTAAATAGATTAACAAAGTGTAACAAGGAAGTTAAATTGAATAATGATATTTTAAATAAAATTTTTAATTTTTAAATATGGTAAAATAATTTTATGGATTAGAAAAATAAAATTAAAATACATATTAAATAATTTTTTATTAAGTAGGAAAAATTAAAATTTTATTACTCTTAAAAATTATAAAAAACATTAAAACTTTCCTTCTAGAACACATTGAAAATTAAATAAAACCTGAAGAGAATTCGAGTGTCAAATTTTATTAAAAACAAGAATAAACTTAAAACTTGAAAATTTAAATTAGAACAAACTTGAAACATTTAAAAATAAACTTGAAGCAATTTAAACAATATTTAAGCTTAGAAACGAAACTTAAAAAACTTAAAAACAAACATAGAACATACTTAAGAACAAACCTATGACGAACTTAAAAACAAACTTGAAAACTTAAAACTTAAGACAACTTAAGTTTAAACTTAAAAACCAGAACAAAATTAAAACAAACATCTTCAAAACATTTCAAAGTATAAAAACAAACTTGAAGCAAAACATATTTAAATTAAAATGTTTTTAAATTTCTCAAAGTTTAGAAATCTATCCCCATAATTAATTTCATTACTAATTACAAAATAAAAATAGAAATTAAAATTACAGAAAGGTGTAAATCAATAAAAGCAAAAAGGTTTTTAGACGACAAAAAAAAGTGTGAGAGGTTTTTAGCGGCGGCCAGAAAATAGGAGGGAGAGAAAATGTGAATAGATATGACAGCCGGTCTTTGAGTAGTCACTCTAAGGATTGATTAAATAAAAGAGATCAAAGTTGGAAATAAAAATAAATTTTATAAGAGACTTTTTGCTTCATTTTTATTAGTTTTTTTTACAAAAAAAATTTTTTTATTACAAAAAAATAAATTAAAAAAAGAAAAATGATTAGATAAGAGACAGGAGAACACACTAACATTAAAGGAACATAAAAATTTTCGTAGTGAAGCAAAAAATTTAATTTTTATATCAAAAAATAGAGGAGAATCGTGGCTATAAGATGAAACTAAATAAAGTTGGAATAATCAAAAAAGGAATGAAATTAGAAGCAAAAATGCAGAGAAAGACTAAAAAATGTTGTGTAATTTGTTATAAAAATAAATAAATTGGTGGAAGTTAAAATTAAAAATATTTTTTTATTTTTTGTTAATTTGTAGCAGAAAGGTCTATCTTTAATTTAAAATAAAGAAAAGATTTATTGCTCAATTTCTCGAAGAGTTATGGCTAAAAATGTCAGGTGATTTATTAAAGTGGTCGCTTAAATAATTTGCAATATAAATTAATTAAATAAAACTTGAAACTTTTTAAGCAAAACGAAACGCCTAATAAATAAATTTAAATAAACTTGGAATTTTGCAAAGAAACACACTTAAAGTTTTTTTACAACTCGGGAAATTAAATAAACTTGCTAATAAAAAGTGAACTTAAAACACTTAAAACTTGAAAATAAAACTTGAAAATAAACTTAAATCCAAACATCTAAGAAAATCTGAACATCTAAGTATACTTAAAACTTAAAAACAGACTTAAGAACGAACTTAAGACAGAATTAAGAACGAACTCAAAAGCTTAAAACATAGACAAACTTAAAAACAAACTTAAGAGCGAACTTAAAAACTTAAAACTGGAACAAACATAAAAACATGAAAACTCAAATATAAACAACCACAAACTTGAAACAAACACGATTAAAATAAAATCCAAACATCTAACAAAATTTGAACATTTAAGTATAATTAAAACTTGAAGATTTGAACAAACTTAAAAACAAACATAAAAACATGAAAACTTAAACAAACTTAAGAACGAATTCAAAAACTTAAAACTTGAACGAACTTAAGAACAAACTTGAAAACTCAAATATAAACATTCACAAACTTGAAACATTAAAATAAAACTTGAAATATTAGAAACAAACTTGAAACATTTTTCAACAGAGAAAAATGTTAACATTTAAAGAATAATTTAAATTTTTTCAAGTCTAGTCAAATTAAGAATATTCAATTCATTGATTTTTATTTTTAAAATAGACGAAAAAATTTTTAATAATAAAATCAAGAATTTGACTATAATAAAATATATATTTATTTTTGTTGTCATGTGCTCTATTAAATATATAAAAAAATGTTAATAAACTTGGCCGTTCATAAATTATATATTTAATTTAATTTATTTAAATAAAATCCAACTTGGCCGCCACACAAGTTTTAAAAAATTAAAGGGAATTTTAATGAGAGAAAAAAATTTTTTTAATTAAAAAAATAGAAAAAATTTTTTTAGGGAAGAAAATTAAAAGTACAAAAAATTTAAATAAAATAAAACGTAAGGAGAAGGATGTATTGACGCAAAAAAGAAACATTTAAAAATTTCATTCAATTTAATTCAAGTACATTTATTTAAATGAAAAAAATGCAAAATACTAGAGGGGAACGGAAGTAAAGGGGAGGGGGGAAATGCACTCATGCAATATTTATTTTTTTCCTATTCTTTGGCCAATTTTCTAAGAAAAGTGTTTGAAGTGAATAAAAATGAAGGAAAAAAATTTTTTTAAGAAAAAAAACGTGGGAAATATGTATATTTAAAGGGCAAAAATTTAGATGAGCGCAAATAAAGTTTGTTTGGTGTTTTTAAAGTTTTGCTTCAGTAAATAAGTTTAATAAAAAAAAAGAAACTTGGAATTTATAAGTTTAAGCTTAAGTTTTTAAGAGTCAAAACTTAAAAATTGTTTATGTAAACTTGAAACAAATCAGTAAAACATTAAAAACTTGAAAACTTAAATAAACTTGTAAACATCAAAACATGTAAACATTAAAACATCTAAACTTGAAATGTTTGAAAAAACAAACTTGAAAACAAACATTGTTTAAAACATGTTTCACTTGTAATAAATTCCCCCAAGCATGTTTTAAGTTTGATGTTTTCTAATGTTTTTATTCAATGTTTTTATTAAATGTTTATAATGTTTTAAGTTTGCTCTTAAAAACAAACTTGAAACAAAAAAGTTGGAAACAAATAAACTTG